TTTTTTTTTTCTTTCTATTGGCATTTACAAAACACATGCTTTACCTGCAACAATAATGGAACAAACTTCACTCCATAGACACAGAAGTTGCTTGTAAACAAAAAAGGGAACCACTGCATCAGCAGCCGGTCCTTAGACTACCTGTAGCTCATTCATTGCTGCTCGCTTTATTTGCTTTCTGTTGTTTTATTAGACTGGTTAAAAAATGTTTTGGTGTTTTTATTTAAACTGAGACCTTTGTGTCATTTTTATAATGTAAAGGGGGGCATAAAGATCAGTACCGTTTTTAAAGGAAAAGTCCGTTCGGCAAGGAATAATCAATGGGTCATTATCTATACCTGAAACTAATATGTTCGCAGTGATTTAATGAATTTGGTGTTAATCAGTAAAAAACATAAAAACAATATTTTTCATCGCGATCATATTCTGAACATGACTGGACTTTTCCTTTAAGAATCAGCTCAAAAATATCAGCATCACATATCGAGGATCGGTTAGACTGATGGCCTCTCTCTACCAGCAACACATATTCTGTTTAAAAAAAAAAAAAATCTATTGTCATGTTTTATTTTGTCTTGTTGTGCATTTTGCTGCCATCTTGTTCGGGAACAGGCTCTCTCCATTTTTGCTGCAAGGCTTCACCTGCACATCGGTGCAGAAAATGACCCCGGCTACGATCAGGCAGTTGATCCGCGCCACCAGGCCCAGGTTTGGCATTCCAAAGGTGGCTCTCAAAGAATCGCAGGTAAAACCTGGAAAAGCTTCTCAGACCAAATCTGTGATATTTGCTTGCAGCTTGTATAAAAACCTGCTTGTGATGTTTTTTTTTTTTAATCCACAGCTGACCTGCATGTACAACCTGATCCGCAACAGCCTAAGTCAGAACTTTGTAGATTATCCCTCAGACATGCTGCTCTTCTTTGAGTAGGTCCCTTCATAATCATCCAGCAGTGTGGAGGTTACCATGTGATGTAAACTTTCTTCAACCTTTTATTCTAGCCCTCAAAATATCCAGAAGGAGAACTGCAGGTCCTACTTTTCTGCTCTGGGCGCTGCAGACTTTTCTGTGGCCTCCAGCATTTTGAACAAAGGTCCCCTGCTGTTTGCTGAAGCTGGATCCTGCCTGGTGGGTTTTATTTCGAAGGAGCACCACTTTACAGACCTACTCTGTACACAGCAAAGCACTGTGCAGCGGTTTGAAACCATTTCTAAGAAGCACATTTTGTTTTTCTATGTTTTTAGGGTATAAATAACCTAAGCTTGAGCAGAGATGTGGTGGAGGTTTTGGGGAACATGGTCTGCACTCTGGACAAATCCTACATAGAGAACTCAGATCCTCAGATCCTGGAGAAACTCAAAGCCTGCAAAGACCTCTCTGAGAGCCAAGTGACGGCTGTAGAGACGCTGCTGCTGTCTGGGAAAACTGTATACGGGTACCGTATTAAGCTACAGTTTTAGGCAATCAAAATTTCCCCACTTTACTTGCTGGGCCCTTGGCTGGTCCGCTACAATTCCTTTTTAAACACCTAAAATATTCCGTCTGTCATGATTTGTTGACATTGACCTCTTAACACCCACCTAATTTTGGGTAATTATCGCCTATTTTGCATACCCAAATGGAAAAGCAAATTACTGAGAAACTGTAAGCCCAAATGACATGTGTGAAACATCATTTTAGACCTAACACTTTAAGAATCTAGTTTCTGAAAATATTCTGTCTTTTTTTAAACTATTTTTCAAACTGTCCGAAGAAACCACAGAGTTTAAAAGTCCAAAGCCCACAATGTATGTTCTTACACTGTGCAGGACGCTCTGATGCAATCTAGTGCTGACAGATGGCGCTAGTCGGACTCTGGAGAAAGAAGAAGAACTCCCTTGTTTGCACATTCGCAGTGCTCAAGGTTCTAGTAAATCTGCTTGTTGCTCTGCTTCAACAGCAGTATTTGCCCACGCACACCTCATGACGGCTGAATGAATTTCAAACATGTTTGATTTTCTCCCGTCCGTATGATTCCTGATCGGGCGGTGGTCGTTAGAGGCTGATCGCCTCTTGTTACCTCCTCTGTACTACATAACGCAGGACGCACAAGGAGGCTGAAACTCGGCCCGATTGAAAAAATTTTTGCATGACTAGAAAATCGGCCCAAAAAGGGCGAACAAAAAAAAAAAAATCGCACAGTGTCTGCCCGGCTTTACCAACCGGGCTCACTTCTTGTGAGTTAGAGAAGCATTTTATACAACTCAACTATGCCACGTCATTGCATCATACATGACATCACATCATACACATTTCATACACAATCAAAGTAAGACAGCTGGTTCTTAGATCAAGGACGCCACTCTCATTCCATTCCCAGATCTTTGCCACTTGTATAATGAAGAAATGTTTTTTTTCCTGACAAAAGCAACTTTCCAAATTAGATAATTAACTTGGAATAACATTAGTTCTGAAGTGCAACAGGTATTATTAGGGTTTAACAGACTCACTTATTACCAATAAGAATAATCCTAACAATAATGATTCATTCAGCTTGGAGACAGCCAATCAGCTTACAGATTATCGTTTGGCGTAGATTCTTGTCACGAGCACAAAGTACAACAAAAAACATTGACATAATCTTCTGTGCTGTTGCACTACGTGACGCCTTGATGGAAACGGTAGAAAAGTCAAATCTTGTGTTTACAGAGACACGAGTGCCTGGAGCGAGCAAACACTGGAGAACCTCGGGACTCTTCCTCTACATCTCACCAGGAACATCTGGGGCCGGTTCCAAACTGTGGGTTTTTACATTTTTTTTTTTATATTTTACTCTTTAGAAATACTCTAACAAAAAAAACACATAGACATCTGATTCAGGTTAAATCACTTGTTTTCCAATTCTGCAGACGGCTAAAAGAATCTTTCTCAAGACTTTTATGCCCAACTTGAGGAAATTAAAAACACAGAAGATTAAACTCAAGAACCTCTTCAGACAGATCATCCCCATAGTGGCTAAAAGAGCAGCAGGTAAAGAAAAAAACCCTAATGAAACTAGACTTTTTTAATAAAAAAAAAAAGTTAAGCAGGAACTTTAGTGTATTCACAGATTATTAACTGAACCTTAACGTTTCATTAAAGGATGGACATTTGAATGCTACTTTTATGAAGCACACCCTTTGATGTGTGTAGTCTGACCTCTCATCTGCTGAACGATTTCCTCAGGGTGCACTGAGGGCAACATCACGCAGGTGGTAATCAGCGACCCGGCCTTCCCCTTCGGCTACGACGAGACCCAGTTTGACCTCTGCCTCGACATTCCTGTTCTGAAAGATAACCTCAATGCTATCTGTGAGAAAGTGGACGATGACGAATTCCAGAAGATCATTCTGAAGAAGCTCCTTCAGGTAGGTCTGGATTCTTGACTGAAGGGAAAGATGTCTGGCAGTATCCAGGACTCGGCAGTGGACTGATGATTTAATGTGGATCTTGACTTTGTTCGACACATTGCACATGTTCACCCCCGCCTCCTCTGTTCGTCCAGGCGTATCCATCGGGGGTTCCTGAGGACGCAGTGCAGATGCTCGGCTCAGTGTCTCGTGTTGCTACGCTGGAGGACATCTCTAAGTGGACCGTCACCAAAGTCGACACTCTATCGGCTCTTTTTAGGACTGAAGATGGAAGCTGGGAAAGAGAAAAGGTTATTCAAAGGGTTTTAATAAATGCACTTTTTGGGGGGATTTAATCCTTTAACACAGGCATCCCCAACCTCGGTCCTGGAGGCCCGCTGTCCTGCAGGTTTTAGAGGTTTCCTTGCTGCAGCACAGCTGATTTTAATTGAAAGCTGATCAACAGGCTTTTGGTCTACTGCAATCATTATAATCAGCTGTGCTAAAGCAGGGTCCAGGACTGAGGTTGGGGATGCCTACTTTAACACACCTGCTCATAAATGTTCCTTTTTGACTTTTTTGCAGAGCAAAGAAATCATTGAAAAGTATCTGAGGACTTCAGGGAACTCTCTGAGCCCCGTTGAGCTAACGATTATCGACTCCAACCTGTGCTCGTTAGAAACCAGCACCCTGAGGACCATTTCTGCTCTCAGTATCCTGTTAGTGTTTGCATGCCATTAAAAATCACCTCCTCAAAGAAAGAGCTGCTGGACTGATAACTCTCTGTTCCTCCTCTCTCCCATTGCTACCAGAAATGCTAAGCCTTTAAACTTGGCTTCATGTTCCGTTGAGCAGAAGAAGATCCTATATGGCACAAGCTCGAATGCCTTCTTAGTGTATCGGGCCAGTTTTGTTGACTATTACAACTTGATGAAGCCCTATCTGGGTAGGAATGTCCACTAAACATCATTATTGGTGTTTCTTTGCCAAGAATACTCCCCTGATTGTTTTCTTTTTCCCCTCTGACAGGAGGAGCACCTCTGGACGATGTGGTAATTTTGGCATTACAGGACATCAACATGGATGTAGACGTTTTCAGGAGTCTGCGACTTGATGTGATCAAAGTAAGAGAGTCTTGTTTATTCTTCCTTTTTTTTATTTGAAAACCAGGCAAACGGTTAGTTCAGCGTTTTTCAAAACGTGGCCTCTGCCTCCTCTAGGGGGCACCAGGCCGTGACCTGAAGACAAACATAACAGAGGAAGGACATTTGTCTAAGCCCTTTTTCATGTGTGCAAAAAATATAAATACGTAGTTTTTAAACTAAACAACAGTCAGTGAAATTGTGAATGTTTCTGTACGTCTAACAATAAACCAAGAGTGTCACAGTGGGCTGGAGGTTGGCTGAGGATCCAAATGCAGAGATCAGGAGGCTGAGGTCAATCTTCTAGATTTAATGAGTAACTGAGGCAAAATACAAAGAAACAAATGACCAGAAATCATCAATGGAAACTCATGTGGGGAGCCAGAGATGAGAAAGCAACAAACAACAACAGGAACCAGCACTGAGTGACTGCAGAGGTGGAGTATATAAGGGAAACAGAACATAGGATGGACTGATGAGCTGAAAATGGAGCAGGTGTGAGTGGAACTAACTAGAAGGAAGCCGAGAGGAAAGGAAACAAGCACAAGGGGGCGACAGAGAGTAACTAAAGACTCTTGAATATAATAGAAAATAAACCAAAGAACAAAACAGAATAACTGATAAGTGAAAACAAAAACTCAGCGTTCCAAAAGGGGAGAACCATGACAAAGAACTTAATATTCTAAACCAATAAAGGATCAGATGTTTGGTAGGAAAGCGATGTGTAGCTCCACTAGATTCAAAACTTGAATCTAGAGAATCATTTTTTAAATTGGGTCAGAGATTGGAAAAAAATCTGACAATTCAATTCAGTTTATCTATAAAGCACCAATTTACAAGACGTCCAGTCAATTCAATCAGATCAGGTGGGTTAAATATTTTCTATGCAAGGAAAACAGGCTAATTGCATCCGGTCATTTACTTCCAATGGTTTACTCCTCCTGGATGAGAATGAGAAACAGTAGATTTTTTCGCTTGCATTTTGTCGTTGACTCTACGGGAATCCCTCACACTGAGCGTGCATGTGACAACAGTGGAAAGGAAACATTTTAATTTAACAGAAATAAACTTGGAGCAGCAGAACCAGGCTCAGTGTGGGGAGCCTTCTTCCGAGCCAGACTTGGGTTCAATGAGACAGAAGCAGGAAGATAAAGGAAACTAACTCCAAAGGTGGATATGTCTAGGAACGAAACTTTTAATAAGCAGGCGAGTCCTGAGCTGGTTTTGATGTCTAAAGAGTCAAAAGCGATCAAATACAGTAAGTCACAGTAAAAGCTGAGTCCAGGTTGATATCTAGGAGAGAAACTACACTAAAAAATAGAAAAAATTCATATAAATAAACATGTTTAAAAAAAACAGGCTCTTACTATCTATAATCTATAATAATAATCTATAAATAAGGTGTTGATGGCAGCAGCACAGCTGATATTTCTCTCCAGGATGGAGTCACAGCCAAACAGGAACAGACCAGATGAAGCTACTATGAGAAAAAGCAGAGAGAGCAGAACGTTAGAGATTGAACTAACAGATTCTGCAGAGTGGGAGAATAGAGATAGAATGATAAAAAAGGGGTCCCTATGTCTTCCAGCAGTCTAAACCTATAGCAGCATAACTATAGAGATAGCTCAGGATAACCTGAGCCACTCTAACTATAAGCTTTATCAAAAAGGAAAGTTTTAAGCCTAGCCTTAAAAGTAGACAGGGTGTCTGCCTCACGGACTAAAACTGGTTGTTGGTTCCACAGGAGAGGAGCCTGATAACTAAAAGATCTGCCTCCCATTTTACTTTTAGAAGTTCTAGGAACCACTAGTAAACCTGCAGATTGAGAGCGAAGTGCTCTGTTAGGAACATAAGGAACAATCAGATCTCTGATATCAGATGGAGTTTGGCCATTTAAAATCCTCCTTCTCACATACGAAGTATGCAACTTTTTTTTATGTTGCAGTGTTTACCTCCATGAGTCAGCTTGTCACGCCCAGTGCTGTTGGGATGGGGCTATCATATGTGTGACATGCTATGAAAGAAATCTTTTAGAAATAGAAATAAATCAGCTTTTTCCCCAACTTTTCTTTTCTTTAAATCACAGAATTTGACGGTGATACATGTGCGAGGTCTCATGGGAGACCAGCTCAGAGACCTGAAGCTGTTTGAGAATGACACCGTGGTTCAGACCTGGGTGAACCTGCAGTTCCAGTCAGATTTGGACACTCTGGGCATCGGCCTGATTAGTAACAGGACCAGACCCACCACTGTGTCTCCAATACAGGGTAAAAAATACAAGCTAAACATCAAATTTGACTTTTTAGGACTAAAAAATGTTTTTTTGTTTTTTTTGCATTTAAAGTTTTTTTTTATTCTCTGTTGATAAATGAAGTTATCATAACACGGTGGAGTTTATTCTAATACTTTATGTCTGCATTTTTATTTTCAGCTACAACCAGCGACGCGGCCGAGTTTCCAAAGACGTCTTTATTTCTGGCTGCTCTGCTGACAGCCGTGATACAAATACTGCAGCGGCGAGCCTAAACAAACTCTTAACTCCTGCTGCCTCCATACTGCAGGCCATCAGAGATGTGAAAGTGTCCTAACTTACTAGTCTTACCTTCTATCTCTTATTCTGAGCACAACAGCTGCTGCTCTTTGGCAGATAACTTCTATAAGATTTAAGCAGAAATTTGGGAAAATAAAGAATGTCCAGGCTGAAACCAGGAATCGTTATTAAAATGTATTTAAACATTAATGCCAAATTTTTCATAGTTTTATATTTATGACTACAGATGCCAAGATCCAAATCTATATGCTATGAAATACATTTTGTTTTTCAGATCAAAAAGTTATTTTATGGTAGCAAAGATATAGTTTCCCAATAATTATAAATAAACAACGATAAAATAACTATTTGAGCTTATATGATGTTGCGTTTTTTTATTGGTGCCTAAGATTCTCGCTGCAGTCCCACTAGGTTGGTAGCTGTTCTACTTCTTCTTGTTGCTACACATAAAAATTTATCTGGAATCTAAACCATTTAGCTCCTAAATGTTTAACTAATGTTTTCACTGCAATTTTGCTGAAAAACTTGTTTTTCTTTTTTAAGTAACTTTATGTTGTGTTTTAAATAAAGTCTAAATGTAAACCATGTCAGACTCTTTTCCACTAATAATTTGTTTGAATGTTATTGTTAGATGTAGACTTCACCACATCATTAAGAGTCATTTTAAACTCTGGCTCATATCTGATTTTTAATTTTTCTCCTTTTTCAGGAATCTCATTTTTTTATGAATGGTTGTTTACGTTACCTGTGTTACGGCTGCAGTGAGTGATCCTGCACTTTTCCTTGCAGGATGCAGGCCTTCTGCAGGTGTTCTGTTTTGCCCTAATTGGTGCTCGTCTGCTTTCAAAGCTGTCATGCAAGCAGCAGACAGGAGGATTCTCTCTCTTACCTCCTAAGAACCCCGTTTGGTTTGGTTTGGTTTGGTTTGTATCCTATCCTATGGTTGGGTTTTGTAAGGTTTGGTTGCATTTGCTTATTTCTGTTTAGTTATTGGTTTTGCATTAGGCCATTTCTTATCCCCCATTTTATTTATTCCTTTTCAGGTATTGTTTCTTTGGTATAATTTAATAAATTAAATTTTCACGTTAAAGAAAATCCTTGTATGGTCTCCAAACAAGCCTAGTGGACGTAACACCTGTGAAGGAGAAGTCTGCTCAGCATTAAATTATCAATGGATCATTATCTATACCTTAACTAATATGTTTG